TATATATATATATATATATATATATATATATATATATATATATATATATATATATATATATATGGAATACGTATAGATATACAATATACGTCAGCTTGTCTATGCATCGACGCGCACAACGCTACCACGACGGATCGGTCGGTGGGCACGGCCGGTGGTCGAACTCCGATGAATCGATGACCGCTTTTAGTAATGATGTGTACATGGCAGGCCATCCTCTCCCGATGGAACGCCGCGCCGGGGTCAACGCAGGACGCCGCGGCCGCACCGGAGGATCGTGTGTAGTGGCAGCCGGAGTTTGCCGAGGGGGACTTATTACGTCCCTGGAATTACCATATAAATTATCGCGTGATGAACCCGCCGGAGTGCGAAACCGTGCACGCTCCGGCCTTTGTCGAGGTTTCGGTTATGGTTAATCGGCCACGCCGTTTAATTGACATTCTGCACCGCAAAATGCCGCGGAGGCCGCCGCTGCCGTGCAATTTTCTTCATCGCGCTATCTATTCGATCCCCGGGGGGAAAGGGGGGAAGAAGGGGGGATGATTGACGGCCACGTTTAGACCAATTTCTGTGAAGTGTTGGGATTTTCACGTACTCTCAAACTTTCTCTGGGATTACAGTATACATCACGATGAAATAACATTCCGTATTGCAAAAATAAAAAAATAAAAAAAATAAACTTAAGAAAGTATACGGTAAAAGTATACGGTAAATTATTATGATACATAGGTCTTTTTCATCTCCGCGGATAAGAGTATTTAAAAAAAAATTAATAAATGAAGAGACAATCTATTATTTATTTCTGATTCATTTGATGAATTAGATCTGAATAATAGATAATCTTTTCGTTTATTATAAGAGAACGTTTGTTACGTTAAATGCACCGGTAATATCTTCCATTCGAAACGCTACATAATTCTGTATATCTTGGATTATGTATGGCAAAGCGCCGAGAAATGCACGCGCCGAGCACAAAGTAAATTTCTGCTTGTGCGTACAGTATGCATTATCTAAATTATAAACAGCTACATATGCTATAATTAATGCGCATTCAAATTTCTATCGCTATAGTCGGCGAATGCTCGACAGGCGCTTCGAAAACGTTATTAAGATTAAGGCTGTATAATTATCAGACATGATGACATAGAGGCCGTAGCGATGATGGTCCATGGCGGGGGGCTGAGTAAGTCAACCTAATGTTTAAGGCTGTGCCTCCTTGACGAGCAAAGGATTCAACGCGATCTCGATGAATATGCAAAAGTCTTTCTCGAAGTCATATCTGAGTACAGGCGAGTATGCCAAATCTATGTTTCATGCATTCAGATGCCCTTCTTACATTTCTAAAATGCGGATGGCACCGTGGCGGACTTGAACAATGTCGTTTATTGTTATCTTCATTAGATGCCATTTAAAAACCCAGTCCACATTTCTCGTGAAATTCCCGCTGCGATGGTGGTATGCAAATCCCACTCAATTCGCACGAACACGGGGAAACTCTTAAAGCCTTTTATAGTATGCCTTCTCTAAGACTGAATTCGTGGTCTGAAAGTCGGAGTGCCACTATATTCTCGAGTGTAGGTATTACGAGACGACTTTTCGCGCGGGTTATACATATACGTACGGCTGAGGATTTTTAACCCCTTTCTAAGAGGTTACGACACGTGCAGACTGATTTATATTTACGGAATAGCGAATATCGCGGCGGCACACCACGAATACCGTAAAATCTGACATGCGTTTCTCGTTTCCCTCTTGTGCCAAGTTTTCGTTTATTTAACACGCCAAACGATGCGCGTGGAACCTAGCGTTGCATATTTTCATTATTCCTACAAGAATAACTTGGTATTGTCGTTGAAGAAAACTTCTGCGTTACGCTGACCTATTATTATACCGTTGGAACATTTTCTTAACAATAATAAACACGTGCGACATGCCTTAATATTAAGAACTTCTATCCTAATGCTCGTCCTATGTCTCATGCAACACCAACAAATTTTCCCGGAGGGTGCATCGCGTTCCCTCGCGTAAGATTATGATTTTTGGCACCAACTTTTCCTTATTAGAACCCGCTGGAACATTTCCGCGATAATCTTATTAACACCGATAATTTGTGATATGTGATGAGAGAAACGAATTCATATAACATTTAATATTTCTTTTTCTTTTTCTCAGATTTTATCTCTATTATATAAAATTCTTTAAAATTTATTCATTTCTTAAATATAAAAGAATATTTTACAATAAGACGGCCTCATTTTTATTATCGAAAAAGTAAAATCTTTTCTCTTTGTTATTAAAAGATTAAAATTAATCATTCACTTAATGTCTCTTTATAAAAAAACAATTCATACTTTTTCAGACCTTTTGTCTTAAACTTTTATGTTAAAAACAACGATATGCAATAATGGATCGTACAAGACTTCGCAGTCAGCAAGTTCTTGACAGCTCTTTGCGAAGCACTTTATATCGTACAGGCCCATTATATTATCAGCCATGTGTTATAAGTTATAGCAATAAGAGTTTCTCATAGCTGGATGGTCTACTTTATGTTTACGACCCCTTGTAAAAATTTTCTATTAAAACGACGAATGCCGTTCGCAACCGTGAAATAGGCAGTACAGTGTGTAATACTGGAGATATACACATACAACGCTATTATTTATTTTTTCCACTATGAAATTTTTTCTCTGTTACGATCACGTGAAAAACTGCGCCTTGAACGTTGCTGTAATCACGCACGTAAATTGGAAATTATTCTTCGATCGTTTATTCACGAAAACTAATTTCAAAACACAGGCATGTTAAAGACTATCGCTGAAATAACAGTACGAGAAAAAAAATTTGCGCTACAGCTAATGAGAGACTGTTAAAACTATGTACTATGCGTGTGCGTGTTTGCTGATGTAATTAAGCGAATTTTTTAATACATTGAAAAAATTTGCTAACGTTACTAATATCGATATATTAGTAAACGTTTTCAATATAATAACAAATTTCTTTAATTACATCAATAAACATCATTTTAAGTGTAGCATATTTTTAATATTTTTTTCCGTGTAATCAATCAAAAATGAATAGTGCAGAATTTTTTATATCGTTCGAAAAATATTTTATGACATTCCACAATAATTAAATATTCATTTAATAAACAATTTAAAATATAAAATATATAATTTTGCAAGGTCAACAATTTCAAATTTTGAAAATTTTCATCGATTAATATAAAATATTTAAAATATTCCTCTCTCTATCTCTCTTTCTCTCTCTCTCTCTCTCTCTCTCTGTCTGTTATATTTTTAAAATTATAATATTTTATCAAATATTTTATCAGTTTACGCTTATTTTTCTATTTTTCATTGATTAATAAAATAAAATTTGTTGCGCAGAAACGAGCCCGTGTTCAAGTCGGATAAAAAGAATGACAGGATGTGAATGTCAAATTGATATGATTGATACAATTGATGAGTATCACTTCACGTGTCATTGGAATTGCTTCAGTGCCGCTTAGTTAAGAATCGTGGTCATGAAAAATATCGGTCAATAACGTGAAATCACGAAGATTGACGGGAGATCGTTCTTAATGTCTCTCTCGTCTCACTCGGAGAGAGGCACTCGACTGCGCTTGCGGGTTCTTTCGTTAACTCGACTCGCGCCGCGAAAGGTTTCCGAATCACTTATGGTTTGAGAAGTCGCCCACATTCTCGACGCACTTACGCGAACGAAGGAGGATGCGAAGGGTCGACGAAACAAAACATCGTAAAGTGCCCTCGTATGTAGAGGATGCGACCTGTTAGCCGCTATTGGGGCAAGTGAGAAAAGTGGCTGTGAGAAGTGCACGAGGCGATGCATAAGGGCGCGTTTCCCGAGGACGGTTTATCCCTCCGCCCGGCTTTGCGAGGCATTGAGATTTATTAACGCGATGCCCGACACCGCAGGATGTCTCTCCATAAATTTCACGGTTGCAAATTTCTGGGAATTCACGCCGATATGCTCGTGGTTATGAACCACGTCTCTCGTTTAGCTCTCCCCTCCGATTTAGAATTATGGCTGGATAAAGCTCGTCATTCTGCAACGCGGCCCCCTCTATTTACACCATTTGTGTATCACGATGATCGTCGAATTTTTATTTTTAAAAACGAACGCACGAAAGAGTTGTTTATCAACTACGTATTATAAATTTATGACATATGTATTACGACCATTATTGTACTTTTACAAAATCGATCTGGCGCAGTTTGTATGTGTTTGCCATGTATACAGAATTTAATTTACTTCCATCTCATTCAATTTTCATATAATATTTGCCGAGTAAATTCCCTGACCAATTCTATCGGATACAGCCATCGGTAAACGGCCGTATTTATTTTCTTTTATTGAAACGGGATCGCGCGCGCTTCATGAGATTGTTTTTGTCATATTCACATTTATATCACGTTTGAAAGTTCACAATTATTATGTATCATTAATCGTACAAATATAATCAATGGGCTATCTTCGTGTACCCACAATGACAATAGACTTAGCATTAATTCTGTTCTTCGAATACGTGACTGAAAACGTAACATGGCCATCCCATTTGTGATACCGGTCCTAAACTGAAATTTCATAGTCCAAGGAACAGTGAGTGATCTTAAGACATCACTGTTCGGTTCTCCCTCGGAGCATCAATCAGCAGTCCCTGCAATCAAGGCAGAGCAACGGGCGAGCGAGGACGTCTCCATGGGAATTTCGAGAGGCATCCACCACTCAATTATCTATCACCATACACATTCAAGATCTTATCGATCTAGAAGTCTCTATTTGAAGGAGAGTGAACAAGAAAATTCTACAGAAATCTAGGATCACTTTACTTACCGCATAACCGGCATAAAATACTCATTAATAATAAACCTTTATCAATCGTATCATCAAAATTAAAAATCGAATTTAACAAATGTAATAAAATCGCTTCGAATAATTGAATAATCGAGTAATTAATTAATTGAGATATACAGAATGTATTATATGTGCAATGTTATCGTATTTTCATCTGCCAGATAAGTCCATAAAAACTACTTTCTAATGTTGTGTTACCGAGAGCAGATATAGAAGGCATAATCGAAACCAGAATAAAATTACCATTATCTCTTTTACATATTAGAACCAACAATGCATATTAACATGCCTCGTAGCCTATAGACGTAAACAAGCTTGTCAGTATCCAAGCTAGAATTATCTGCATTGAATATCAGCAAATGTCGAGTATGCAATTCGATTTCGTTCGGCCCTGAATGATTCCGAGCAACGGCCGTGAATGCCTAATGAGTTGCTGTTGTTCGACATTAACGTACTATCGATGTTCCACGTAATGACATCATTGTTATTCCACGCAACAGTTTTCGTGTTACGTTTGATTCGCCATTTTGGCATTCTCATCTTAAGATTCTCTTTGACTCATAAACGTATCAAAAGAGTATCAAACGTAGAATTTAGTACGTCTCTCTTGTATTTTCGACGCCAGTTGCTTCGGACATTAAAATTTTATTTTAAAAATTTATCTATATCTAGCAGGAATATTTATATAAGCATAGTTCAATAAATATTTAATTTTTTTAATGCTTTTTATAAGACTATTACGTGCTCTGATTGTTGTCATATAAGTTGTCAATTACTCGTTGCAGATGCTGCAGTGATGGACAGCGAGGGCACGTTGGGCCGCGGCCATGCAAATGGGGGCCGTGGGCTGCGCCGTCAACGGTCCCTGGAATGGAGAGAACGGCGCGGTTATGGTGCCGGTGCCCAATCCAGCAGTGATGATGAAGATAATGCACGTCACGCAGTGGGGCCCGTGTCGAGTTCATCCACTGCAAGAGGTGCTCGTAGTCCTGGTCAAGTCTTTGCCTCCATTTTCGCGCAACAATATAATAGTAAGTGACAGTTTGATTCATTATCGCATAGTTCATTATTTAGGATATAAACAAAATCAGTAGAGGTACGCATTTCGATCGTATTTAAAAAAAAAAAAGAAGAAATATTTAAATAACTGTTGTATTTGTATTTAAATATACTTACTCTTCTTTCGTTTTTTGTTAAATTTGTTTTATATTAAATGTATACTAAAATATAGTGTGTACTAATTGATAAGAAAATATACTTGCTGATACGAGTATAAGTTACAGTTATATTTAAAACATATTGTAAATCTGCCAGAATTCCGTGTTTGTTATATTCAACAAAACGATACTCGTGTATATTTGCAATTGTTCGTATCCATACCGAAAAAACGTGATTCTACCAACAATCACTGTTCGGTTGTTGATTTTTTTATCACTATCTACTTTTCATTTACGGTTGATCCTATTTTCCTGGATGAATCCAGTGACAATGTAATATTTGTTCGAAATAATGATTTTTCAATCGAGAGATATAATTTTAGTATATTGACACGTCCTTGTTATGTTGTAATAGAATACCTTCATTTGATATTTAATAATTTTTATATGAAAAATAGAATGTATTATTAAATCATGTAATTAATTTCATAACAGATATAATATAGATTACAGCTTTCTATTTAGTAGCAATAATAATTAAGAATATTGTTTTAAGTTTAAAAACAAAATATCACTTGTCCTTATAGTAACTTTTAATAAGTTAATAATTAATTTAATTATATAATTTTAATACTTGTTCCAATGTAATAAACAGATGCAACAATATATTTTCTAAAATTATCTTATTTTCAATTAAATTGTTTTTCATCAAATTTTATGTACATATGTAACTTCAATTTTGATTTAAAAGAATATTGAAAAGTAAGAAAAATCTTTAGAATATCTATGATAAGAGACATGTCAACAAGAAATTTTTATTTTAATTTATTAGACTTTGTGGGTAAATAAACACTATGTGTAAATGACAAGAAATATTATCAACTACTTCGTTATTAAGTCCGATTGCGTGTCATGACTTTTGCAACTACTTTAATTGCGGCGCGTCAGACTAAAGTTGCTTCTTTTTCCTCCATTTGATCTGGTATACCAATAACCAAGTTTTACGTGCCTCGTTCATCATATTCCATCAAACACCCAGGAGCTCGCCCATTCAGTCCGCTTCCCTTAATCTCGCCTCGGCTTTCCACCAAACGCGTAGATTAAAGGATTTACGAAATTAGTTTTACTTCCTCGCGTCGTCTACAAGCACTGCCGGATATTACGTTCGAAGACCAAAATCAAGATTGCCGCGCCGGCAACCTCCTTCTAATATAATAACTAATATAATGTGCGAGCACTTTGAAAAGTAAATGAAGCCTCACGAATAATTTTCACGATTATATGCATTATGTACACAAAGCAACGCGAGCTATATCTCGAAGCTGTATCAATAGGAATGAACTTCGCATAACAAATATATTCTAGGGCTAACGACAATGTAAGGAACTGGGTCGGAAAGAATAATGCAATAACTCGGGATAAGTTGTCTCATATGGTATTCCGTTATCTACTCCCCTAATATCTGCTTCATCATCTCCCTCGTTGCCTCTCCATTCCCACGTTTCATCGATTCGTCTTGAACAAAGTAGGGGACGTTGTGCGCATCGACGATAGGGATGAACTCAATTAATAGCGATACTCCGGTTTATACTATATTTCTTGGTTGTGGTATCAAGCATGAAAGAGAGAGAGAGAGAGAGAGAGAGAGAGAGAGAGAGAGAGAGAGAGAGAGAGAGAGAGAGAGAGAGACGACGACGACCGACGTACGTACGTACGTACGTACGTACGTACGTACGTACGTACGTACGTACGTACGAGAGAGGAGAGAGAGAGAGAGTGCAGCAGTCCACCTCACGTCTGTCTGCATTTGTTCCAATTCACTTGCTGCCGATTACCGCGCTGCCTCTCCGCGTCGATCCCACGTCGTCGTCCTACCCCATTTTCATCCCTATTCTCCCATTTCCTCTGCCCCGTATCTACGCCTGACCCCTTCCCTCGAGCCCATCTACCACTCGACTCAGTGGGCACAGCGCAGTGTCACGTAACCGCACTCGAAATGTATCGAAAGAGGCGATGTATCGACAACGTAATGACTCGCCTTTACTAGCCCGCAACTTCTCCTGCTTGTCCCATTCTGTTTCCGCACACCGTCCTCTCTCCGCCTATTTGATACGCACTATTGTAAATCGATATTTATGCAGTTCTCCGCGAAACGAAGCAATCTCCAACGTTTTCCGCCTTTGGAGGAATTTGGTCGCGTGGTCACGTTACTTCGAAATCTCGTCGTTTATTAATCTATCCTTTGCTCGCTGGCAATGTTCGTCATAATTAATGATGGAAGAGCGATCAAGAGTTTTCTATTCGTGCTACGTCGTTTACATAGCTCAGTGCTGTAGATATTAAGATCGGTAATCGTTTCTTTGACAGTCTCTATAGTCGATGATAAACCACCGTAGAAATAATTCCATAATTACAATCGATGTCTCTCTCTATGCGCGAAAAATCAATAAGACAAAAAACAGTAAATTAGTAATTTTGATAAATATTTTCCAAATCACACTCACATTTCATCCTTCTTACGGATGCTCCCTAATAGGGATATATATGTCATGTCATTATCATTTCTGCGATATAATGGAAAGAGATCTCCTCTTTCCTATGCCTTCTTAGCTCGGATCAAAATACCTATTATAGCTCTTCGTCAGACACGGAGAAAAGTGCCGTCTCTTTATTAATGGTATCCGATGTGTCACGTTACAAGAGGGCCCAAGCGTGTCGATATGGATGGCAGCTCTTAATCTCCGTCCGCATAGTCATCAATATATTGATGTCCAGCCATGGGGTCCTGTCTCCAGGCTAGCCTGGACCAAGCCGGCCTAGACATTATATTGCCAGCTCATTACACCAGCAATGGTTCATATCACGCTTTACTACCTTCCGGAAAATGTTGTCCTCCGAAATGACAATGTGTGCAGAAATCTCGCGTATATGATGACACCGTATAACATGTATTATCCCGAAGAGATTATATAAATTGGTAATTTGGTACGGCGAAATAAATACAATGGCAGTCTCCGGGATTATTACGCGAGTGCACGCCTACCTGTTTATCGGGCTGTTTCATTCGCGTTAATCAAATATACGTTTATACGTTATTCAGTATATGGATATTTATACATTGATTCATATGTATCTATTGTTCCATATTTCGAATTGCCTTTTCTCCCCTACTCTAAACTCTAAAATCGATATATCGCACGAATCGATTGAAAGCGCCGCGTGCGTTACCGCCGTTTATGATCTGACACAGCGCAAATCTCGAGGTCGAAATCACATCATCGATTTATATTTGTGTCAAATATTTACAGATCGCGTCGTTATGTTCTCTGCGGATAGCGGTCGGATTGGGGAGGAAGTGTCACGGCCGAAATGAATAAAACAATTTCAAAGATATCATAGCGAAACGTATTCTTAGTATTAACGAGAACTAAAAGCCGACTGTTTTCCCAGCTAAGGCTTCTAAGAGATCTTCTAACCGCGCTTGAGCTCTCCATCTGGCCTCCGAGCATTTTCAAGTTACTACATACCACGGACTCTTAGCTACCCGATGTATTCTCAAGGATTTCAGAAGACGAGGTTAAGCCATGGATAAATTTTTAATGGTCAGATGGAAGTTCCAGCTTCGCGAAGTAATCGTATGGTACACGCGAGATATCGGATAGAGGGGAGATTAGTTTAGAATTCACGAAAATAACCAAGTCATTATAGCTCGGGGATGATAAAATCTCATAATTTTTGCATCTAACCATGACCAAGTTATATTATTTTTATTGCATCAATGTAATATAAAGTAGATTTATAAATTTTGATTATTTAAATCCTTGACGCATGTTCTCCGATACCAATGTTTGTTTGGGAAAATAAATTGAAACAGAATTGATTTGATAGTACCGCTAATTTTCTCCGAGTTGCTATCTTTGCGTGAATGTTATTACGAATTTTAGGTACAAAGATTATATAATGGAATCCTTATTCGAGTGTAACGGGCATATATGTGGGAGTTGGAAACTCTAAGACGCTAACGTACAGGATTAGATATCTCGAGTTCTCGTAGCGGGCCCGGAAAATAGGTTAAAGCAATAGTCATTAGAAGAAGGTAATGCGAAAGTTTCGTCGAGAAAGAAAGCAACGGTCTACCGTTTCCACTTATTCCATCACGTCAGAAACTTGCACACTAGCGAGCATCGCTATCTAGCTATCAGAAGGAATGAATAATTTAAAGATGTCGGATCGCATGATCGGAATTCACATGTCTGGGATTCGTTTTGAACGTCAAATTACGGAGGGGGAGAGAGAGTTCTCTCTTCGAGCGATCGCTTGAATAATTGCGTTACAGACAGTCAATCCATTTAAATCACTCTATTGCCGACAAATGGTTCATTAAAATGCAGCGGATCGAATTCCTGTCGCGCCAATTGCGTAACGTAGCGGGAATATTCTGATAAATTCTAATAAATCTTGTCGATAAACCTGCTGCTGATGGTTGAGAAGGGTCACTAACGCGTTTATGGTAAAGTAAGTTTGTATTAAAAAAAAAATATATCTTTTGCATCATAAAATATTTTTGACATAAGTTTGCAAACTCAAAACCTTATTTTTAAAACTTACAACATATATCGTTTTGTCATAGGATCGTTTCAATTACCATTATTATTATCCATTATTTAATTTATTTAAAGTTACCAAACAAAATTGACATAATATCTCTACAAAGATATTTTATACATGTTGAATTTCCATTTATACGAAACAAATTCCAGATTGTTTGTGTGCATTTATACATATTATAATATTGAAATTTAAGCTCAATAAAGTTATAAGGTTTGTCCATACATTATTTTCAATATTTTTATATATCATATTTTATATTACAA